CCTCAGAGCCATTTGTTTACTTCAGACACACGAAAACCCACCGAAGTCTGCATCCCCATCACTCCTGTGTGGCCACCTTAAAAAACCTGACATTCAGAGACGCTAGGAGAATTGCTCAAAGCCACATGGTTACTGAAAGCCCATATTTGTTGCCGAAAGCCCATATTTCACCTAGTTTTCTTACCGCCTCCTGAACTCTACTTACCCCCAAATTTAGCACCAGCTCTGGTTGGTAACAGCGAGCACTTGCACCTGCACCGGGGGTTTTGTCCCGGATGATATGCTCGCGGGGCGGCGCCGTCCGAGATTGTTCGAGCGTCTCCGACCTGGACCACGCGCGCCCCCTAGCGGTTACCGTGGAGCCTGGGCGCCCCCGTCCCCTTTTCCTCCTGGGGAAAAAAATGGGAAGTGGCGCTGCACTCATGAATTCTGTTTTGTGGCAGCAGAACCCACCGCCCCCGGCACTCTGGGGGTGAGGGTCCGTGGATTCCGGGGCGTGGGGTTCGGTCATCCTCTCCAGGTCTAACGCCCGTCCTCGTTCCGAGCGTCTGGGCAGTCTGGGAGGAATCAAGACCAGTTTGGGAAGGCTGCGGGGCGCCCCAAGCAGAGACTCTGTGTGTGTGTGTGTGTGTGTGTGTGAGACTGTGTGTGTGTGTGTGTGTGTAGGGGGAGGCGGGGTGGAGGGGGGCGGGTGAAGGGACACCTACTTCGTGGGAGCCAAGACTGCCCCTGGCCAGACTGGCATCCAGCCAGCCTCTATAGAGGGCTCTGACAGAGGCTGGGGCTCTCAGCACCATGGTGCTCCCCCAGAGCCTCGGGAAACTTGCACCCCCTCAGCCTGCTGAGAGCCTGGCGGGGGGGAGGGGCACTCTTTGCCTTTAATGTCTTGATTAGTATATAAAACATACTACTTAAGTAATACCAAAAATAAATTAGAATTTTGGCCCACTGCTTCTAACCACTGCTTATTAAAATGGTCTTCTCTGCTAAAAATGACTTCAGGATACAAATTATTTCCATCATCACTTTATCCTTTCTTATGTTTCTGGGGATAATTTGACGCCTAACAAAATCCAGTCTTTGTGTTAAGGGTTTTTCTTATCTGGTTAGATTCTAGGTAAATTGGGGAAGTATATTTGCATTTCATCAACAGCTTATTTAAAGGTGATTTAATCTGTTTAATCCCTAGCTTCATCCCAAACAGGAGTGGAGGCAGCAACAGTTTCTTGCCCACTGATGTGTGCCCGTAAGAGAGCCAGGCACTGGGGGCAGAGAGGTGAATCAGTCAGGGATGGTGAGGGGTGGCTGAAATTGTGACTGGAGCCCAGGCAATCGACTGTGGTAGGTGAGCCCATGTATTGTATTTGAGGACGGCCTCATCCTCCTGTCACCTACACAGCTGGGCTCGGCTGTGGTCTGGAGGAAGGTATGGTCCATGGAGGCCATGTAGGGGCCTGGCCCCCTCATTTTATCTCAGCTCTCAGTACAGAGGTTCACTTCCTACAGCCTCATAAATATTCTGAAAGATCCAGGGTAAAAAGAGGGGATGAGAGGCAAAGAATCAATGGAGAAGACCAGAATGGGGAGAATGTTGCCAAATATCAGTTTATTACCTGACCAAATTTGACCCTTTGATGTACGTGGTTCTCCCCCCACCCCCCCATGCTTAAGGCCTCCTTAGAAGGTCAATAGGAAGGCATCTCAGTCCCTGGTCCTGAGGGATATCAGTCTAACAAGTTTTAGAATGGACACTGAGGTCCTTTCTCTCTTGTGTTCTGTAGTGCTTTAGTTGGAGCGCTCTGAACTCTGCAGCATGTTTTCAGAACCTGCCACTTGCCAGGTTGGGCAGTGAGCTGTGGGTTGGCGTGGAGACTGGAAAGGGAACGGGAGTGTTGCTCTGCCTTCCCTGGCCGCTCAGTCATATGGTGATGTGAGTAAAACCCAAGAAGAAATGCTCTACTCCCCAGTGCTCTCCTTAAGTCTCTCCCTTAGCCATAAACTCCAAGTACTCTTCCTTTTCCTAGAATCCAATCCTGGAGCAAAGAAGAAATGCAAATGGCCACTAAATACGTGGGAACATGGTCCACCTCATTATTAACCAGAAAAGCCAATTAAGATTGCCGTAGATGGGGCTCTTGGCTGGCTCAGGTGGTGGAGTGTGTGACTCTTGATGTCAGGGTTGTGAGTTCAACCCCCTCGATGGGTGTGGAGCCTACTTAAAAAATATTATTTATATAATATTTTAATATGTAATATAATATATAATGTATATATTAGAATGCAGTAGATACTGAGCAGTTTGGCATTTTGTTTTATTTTATTTATTTATTTATTTAAAGATTTTATTTATTTATATGACAGAAAGAGACAGCGAGAACAGGAACACAAGCAGGGGGAGTGGGAGAGGGAGAAGCAGGCTTCCCGCTGAGCAGGGAGCCCAATGCGGGGCTCGAAATCAGGACCCTGGGATCATGACCTGAGCCGAAGGCAGATGCTTAACGACTGAGCCACCCAGGCGCCCCAGTTTGGCATTTTAAATGTGTATATAATCTAGCTATTCTTATTCTAGAAATAGATCTTTTTTAAAGATTTTATTTATTTATTTGACAGAGAGAGAGACAGCGAGAGAGGGAACACAGCAGGGGGAGTGGGAGAGGGAGAAGCAGGCTTCCCACTGAGCAGGGAGCCTGATGCGGGGCTTGATCCTAGGACCCCGGGATCATAACCTGAGCCGAAGGCAGACACTTAATGACTGAGCCACCCAGGGGCCCCTCTAAGAATATATCTTAAGAAAATAGTTGAATGGATGCATCAAGAGAAATGTGTGAGGATATTTTTGAATCACTGATTATAAGAGAAGTCCCTCAGCAGGTGATTGGTTGATAGATTATGAAGCATATCTAGGCTGGAATGTCATATAGGTTAAGGATCTCAAGGAGCCGGCATCCTCATGGTTTCCATGGTGTTTCATCAACACCCATGTGTGGTCCCGGCCTTGTCTCAGCCCCTGGTACCCCTGATATTCATGGTAAACTCCTAAGATTCCCTGCTATGGGAGTTGGGAATGACCCAGAGAGGAGTACCAAGAGTGTCAGGGAGGCCTGGAAAGGAGCAGAGCATTGAACCAACAGCTCCCCCAGAAGGGCAACATTGTGTGAGGTCTATTCAGAGAAGGCTACTCTACAGGCAACTTTCTGTGGATCCTGGTTCTTCTGGATGACCAAGGAAGTTGTGGTGCTTGCTTTCACTGGGTCTGGCTGAATTCCTGAGTATCCCGGCAGTGAGATGAAAAATAAAACATTTCTGTCCTGTGGTACACATGGACAGGACATCTTAGCACCTGGGTCTTGTGATGGACACTGTTGTTTGGTAAACCCAGTATCCATCCTCGCTTTCTCTGGCAACAGTGCCAGTTTTCTCTGGACATCTGTTGTTTTCCACTTCCAGCCTCTGGGGTTCAGGTGAAGCTGGCTCTGCTCCCTGGTTCCAAAGTGGTCTTGTCAGAGCCAGTCTCCAGGATTTCTGCTAGTTTACTGAGAAGAGTCTTCATTCTCCACGGGGGTAGCATGCCAAACTGGGTCTACTTCTACCTCCGTAGAGAGTTTAAGAATGGAGGTATGTGCAGGGTGTGTGGAGTCATGAGGGAAAATAGAGGAACACAATGTTAGCAGCAGCTGAACTGTCACCATACTTAGGCCTGACAGACAAGGAGAAGGAGGGGATTCTGGACCCTAGAAGGAGAGAGTCATGTAGAGGAAGACGCCTTTTGGACAGTCTCCAAGGTTTACTGAGTCATGTAGAGGAAGACGCCTTTTGGACAGAGTCTCCAAGGTTTACTGAGACAAGAAGACGAAGATGCAGTTGAGTGGGCAGGTCCACACAGCTTGGAGCCAGGTAGTGAAGGCAGAGTGGGAAAAGATAATGTGGGGGGAGGTGGGGCCAGTATGGATTTTATTGTAAATGGTCATTGAATAAATGCCACCACAGAGGATTTTTAATCAGAAGTCAGTGACCTGATTTACCTTTCGGAGATCACTCTGGATTCAAGTGGAGAAATGCATCATATATTGGGATGAAAGTGGAAGGAGGCAATTTAGCCCGTAGGAAGGAGGAGGTGGTAGCAGAGATGAGGGGCAGGGCGGAGGACAGTGAAGTGGTGGGATTCAGGTACAGAGATACAAGTCAAAGTGGGAAGGGGCTCGTGGTGAAGTCATATGACCTTGGCTACTCCACTTCTCTGAGCCTCAGCTTCCTACCCATTTCGCAATGGTAAGTCTGACAAGTGTAGTGGTTAAGAGTATTGTTTTTGCCAGATCTGGATTTGAATCTCAGTAGGTACCAGCGGGATGACGTTATGCAAGTCGGTTAATGATAGAATGTAGTATTTATTGAGCACTTGCTATGTGCTAAGCAGTAGAATCCTCCCCAGACTAGCATACTTTTTGTTATTCCAGTTTACAGGGGGCAGGAACAGTAACATGGAGAGAGCAAGTCATTTGTCGGAGGTCTCAGCCAGGATTTTTCTAACCATCACATTACCCTCACTTTTCTGTGCCGGAAACTGGGACAAGAATAATACTGACACTTCCCTGTGCGGTTGGGAAGATTCAAGAAGAGGCCTGGCAAATAGTAGGTGCTGATTAAATTATTTTTAAAACCATTATTATTATATTCTTTCTGTTTTCCTGAGTTTATTGCTGGGAGCAGGCATCACTTGGACATATCCCTTGGATTAAAAAAAAGACCTGTCAGGTGAGGGGGAAAAAACTGCAGCTCCCGTCTCCTCACTGGAGATTCGGGGTGTGGCCATAGTTGGGGGTGGACTACAGGGCGGGGCGGGGCCAAGAAAGAGGGCGGGGCTGGAGGGGCGTGGCCAGAGCGCTAAAGTCGGGGGCTGGGGCGGGGCCCGGAGTGAAGGGGCAGGGCGCGGGCCGGCAGCGCATGCTCGGTGGTGCGGCCAGCTCCGCCGCCGCCGCCGCCGGCGCCACCGCCCACTTGGGGCTGGCCGGAGGCAGGGAGCTGGGGTGCAGAGGAGGGTAGGGCTGGGCGAGCGCACGGCCATGGCCCCGTGGATGCAGCTCTGCTCCGTCTTCTTCACGGTCAACGCCTGCCTCAACGGCTCGCAGCTGGCCGTGGCCGCGGGCGGCTCCAGCAGAGCGCGGGGCGCAGACACCTGCGGCTGGAGGGTAAGGAGAAACTTCTCGTCGTCCCCAAAAGCGCGGCGGGCGCGGTGCGCACAGGTGCTTGCCGGCAGCCGAACGGGCGCCGACGTGCCTGCCCTACGCGGAGTCAGCGGCAGGGCTGGGATCCCCGCTGCTCCCGCCCTTCTTCCCTCCCTCCCGGGGCGCGCGCCCACCAGCCCCCGCCGGGATGAAAGGGGCCGCCCGACCCCCGGCTTTGTGTTGTTAATGAGGCGCGGCCACTGGCCGGGGTCCGGCTTCCAGAGGGCGAGCGAGAGGGGCGTCCCGCGGCGGGCGGGAGAAGGGCGCCCCACCCTTTGTTCCCGGACCCGTTCCACCTTCGCCCCGGGGCTGTGATGCTCCGAGCTGTCCCGACTGGGAGCGTTTTGGAGCAGGAGTGGTCCTGTAGTCCACCCGTCCGGTCCACAACTCTGCAGAGGCCCGGGACTGCCAGGGTGGGGACCCCGAGCGCTGGGGAGGGATGCGCCCCCTCTCGTGGCCGCATTGTTCCTTCTAGGCTGGGCCGTCTTACCCCACTTTCACCCCACCCCCGATTCCTGACTTGCTGGGAAATTTTGCTCCCCGTTCAGCCCTTCGTCTAGCGAATGGTCTCACGGATGACCTACACCCCCTCTCCCTGGCCCCAGCTTGACTTGGCGGATATTTTTCTAGGCCAAAGGAAGGCATGAGTTTGTTACCTCGGTCAGATGCTCCAGAGGAGACTGGAGAGGTGCACAGACTTAGCCTTGTTGTTTGGAGCCTTCTCCCAGTAACTGAGCACTTTGATGCTGTCCCGGGTGGTGGGGCATAGGGTGGGGGGCGGTGTGCGCGGGGATGCTGCGGTCCCCGGTCCCCACCAGGGTTCCTGGGCTTGGGCGGCCCCAGGACCCGGAGACTGCATCTGTCTGCCCCGCACCGCCCACCCAAGCCAGGGCTGCCAGGCGTCAGGGCACTCAAGGCCTTTAGACTTGTGGAGGGCTTTGTGAGGGCTTTGCACTCAGGCAGCCACGGACATGACCTTGGCTCTGCTCCTGGGCTCCAGTTTCTCCACCTGAAAAATGGGAATAAATGGGGATTTCCTAGTTATCCCAGCGCTATTGCGCTGAGAGTTGGGTGCTTTACTTAGAACAAGCTTAACTCACCTCTTTTGGGATGTTCTGAATGGCCTCAGCACCGTCAAGGCCTAGGACCTGGCACCCTTTTAGAGTCTCAGGCTGGTGCTTCCAGCTGCCTTGTCCCACATTCAGAGAAACACAGTACAGAAAACCAGGTATGAGCCAGGCAGCTGAGATATCTTCAAACCTAGTAGCCGCACTATAGGGAGCTATAACACACCCTCCCACCACCAACCCCATAGTGAATATAACCTTCCTGTTTGAGTAAAACGTCACATTTTGGTAAAATATCACAATTATTATTTTTTAAGATACCAAGTTTTCCCCAGTTTTTAGATCAAAAAGTTTTCCTTAAGGCTATCTCATATTGACTTATTAATCCTGCTAAACTTTTTGGATTTAAATGGATATTTTGGCTTTTGAATAACTGTAAGAACATCACATGTATTTTATTTTGAGTTTACAAATGACAGCATAGGTGGATCAGTCCAAATTGCTGTTTTTCTGCAATCGTCTAAGTAGCTTCATGTGTCAGTTCACAAAGCTTGGAAGATTTAATGTTTTGGGTATAATAGTGACCCAAAGGAGCTAAGCTGATGGTTTTGTTCTCTATGCCTGTGGGAATGTGTTCATTTCCCCTGTGTACCCCTGCCCCGAATTAATGGTGGCCCCCACCCCAGAAGCCTCACACTCAGGCTGACCTCTTTTCTCTCACCACAACTCCTAGTTGGGGGTGACCTCAACAGCTTTTACCTTGGTCTCACTAATTCTCTCCTTGGATCATTTTCATCCCTTCTTGAATGAGCATGGAAGCCTCTGGGCCATCTCCCAGATTCCACACTCTTCCCAACCTGATGCATGGCTCCTTCCCTCCTGGACTTGCCTTTTGGTGCATCTGATGGAGCCACCAGCTCTCCCCAACCCCTCTTGCCCACCTGCCTTGCATACCTACCTTTCCAGCCTGTCCCTAACTTTTGTGCCCTTTGCGCTGCTGAGGCATGCTTTCTCTGCTCCTAGGATGCCTTTTCCTCCCCTGAGAACCTTCTGCTTGTCCTAAGACTCAGCTCAGGTGATACCATCTCTGGGAAGCCTTCCCTGAATGCCATTCCCCTTGCTTTTTCTTCTCATGCAGATCCTTGCACTTTAGTTCTCACCACACTGCATTGTCAATATTTGCTCACATCTGTGTCTTAGGACAGGTTTCTTTAGCCAGGCATTTAACCTCATCTTGGTGGCCTCAGAGCCCATAAATCTTGGCTGAGCCCAATTAGACCCTACAGCCTTCCTGCTAAATTCTGTATTAAGTGATGATTTTAGGAAGTGGTTGGAGAGATGAGAGCACTGAGCTCCAGTGTCCTCTCTGCAACAGGCTTTTGCACATGCTGTTCCTGTCTGTGTTCCTTCTCTTTACACCTCAGCCTCCCTCCTCTGCTCCAGCAGCACTTCCTGCAGGAAGCCTTCCCTGCCCCCACCTCCCTACATCGGGTCTTCCAAAAGTTGCTGTGTCAGAGGACTGGCCAGTGAATACTGGTGTACAGTGATTTGGGCCCTTGATTCACATCGGAGTCCCCTATCAGATGGTGGGTATTCAGCTCATAGATGTTGGTCTCAGTTCTGATGTTGCTTACAGTCTAGTTGGGGCCATGCAGACATAAAAGAAGGGTTGATTATGTGTGAATCAAACAGGAGACTTCCTGTGGGTCCAGGTCACATGGAACCTGAGAGGGGGACAGCAGGATGGAGACGTGAGCCCTGCAGGATCTGGGTGCTGCAGAGGAACTGAGCAAATGACCCTCTTGATCTCCAGGGAGCATTTGTTCCAGGAATTCTTGCCCCTACAGCAGTGTGTATTTTCCCAGGACTTGCAAGGTGACTGCAGCTAGCGAACCTTCAGCAGCTTTTCTAACACACCCTTTGGGGAGGCTCTCTGAGGAGCTGGTCTGGTTTAAATGGTCAGATTTCACAACCTTCCTATTATTAGTGGGGCAATTAAGGGGCCGATACCATCTTGAACACAGCTTAGTGTTTTAGAAATGAGTTGTGGGCACACTTCCTTGACTACTTAAAAAAATCCCTTAGGGCCCTTGCCAGGTAAAGTTGCTCTTGGAGTAATAAATACAATTTTCCCAAAGAAGTAACAATTTCTAAAACTGGTATCCTCATTTACACTGGATCTTTACTCTTGCTTCTTGATAGTGGAATGTTTTTGTTTGTGATGGGTAACTATCAGTCATTTGCGCTGAAGTTTTTATTCCCTCGTCTTGCTAGTTGTTCAAAATACACTGATGGAACAAAGAATTAGGCATCAGCTCCCCAGGTTTTTATTTAGTGGCGTTTCCTGCAGTGGAGAAGGAGGGAACAAGAAATGCCCTTCTATCTAAATGGGGTACATCTTCTCTGGTCTTTTATCTCTGAAACAAATGTCTACCCTGCAAAAAGCCCGCTCCTTCAGGAATTCAGGAAGCCAGAATGCTGGCATCATCTTTACAATGAAGTGCAAGTTTCCCATTTAAGGCAAATACTTCATCTCAAAAGGTAGGAAGGAATAGGGTGGTACTTGGAAAAGAAGAAGTTCCAGCTGGTTAAAATTTAGGTCCTGATAAAAGTCCAATCCAAGAACTCCCCTTGGCCGTGGGCCCAGGCATGTTTATTTGATTCTGAATTGGATGAGTTTTCATTCACTTGCAGCTCATGGCTCCCTAGCCTGCATCTGGTCTGCCTGTCTTGTGGGCATGTCTTCCATGTTATACATGCTCTTGTGTCTCTTACAGAATTCTTGGTTAAAAAATGACCCAGCCCTGGTTGACACATTTTTCAGAGAGACATTTTTATAAGAACCGCGATGCTTTCCTCCAGCCTGTTTTGCCGCGTTAATTGGGAATCCTCCTGGCGCGGGTCCATCTCTCTTGAACTGCCCTCCCTTCTCTCCCCTCCCCCATCCATCCCACCGACCCCCCCCCCCAACCCCAGAGCCCCTGCAGTGCCTGGGGCATTGTGCTAGTTGTTTTAACAAGGGGATACAGCTGGGTGAATGAGACCGGCAAGTAAGTACCGGCTGTGGACCCTTTCCCTCTGAACACAATTTCTCAAAGTCTAGGGGCTTCCAGTATCAGGATTCCTTTGGGAGTTCGTTAAAAATGCATATTCAAGGCTAATGCGACCAGAATGGGAGTGAGATGGGGGTTCAGGAATTGGCATTTTTAACAAATTCTTCTGATGCTCTCTCAATGATGAAAGCCACTGCTTTAGGAGACAGGACTTCCCCGGGGCCAGAGAAGGGGGAGAGAAACCACATTCTAAACATTTAAAATCAGAGTTTGACTTTAAATTACTTGCCTGAATTTAGAGAGGAAGTGGAGACTTTGTCAGAGCCCTGGCCAGTGAAAGGGGTCAGGCTGGTTAAGGGGGTCCAGGGGAGCCAGCTGGGACAGGCACCCTGGTTTGGGTGGATGCCTTTAGCCTGGGGTTGAAGGGGAGGTCGGGAGTGAAGGCGACCCTGACGCGTCCATGGGTTCCTCCCCAGAACAGCTGGGCTTGTCTGGAAAACAGTCTCGGGAAAGAGTAGGATAGGATCCAAATCATATTCTCTGCAGTTCAAACCTTACCAGCGTCCCTACGAAGGAAAGAACTGCTAATGCTTTTGTAAGTCTTTAAGTTGAGTATTTTTCATGCTTCATTTGGCCTAAAATGTGTGTGTGTTTAAGCTTTTAGACCCTCTTTTCCCCTCATCGGTCCCTGAGCTGTTCACATACCATGCCCAGCAGATGTCTGCTGCGGCTGGGGCCACCCCATCAGCAATTAATTGTACATTTTCGTTTCTCACTCCCTCTTGTGTCTGCCTCTGATGGATGGGCTTTTAGGCTTCTGGAAGCTTACCCCCCCATTTGTAAG